AAAAAGTACACAGGACATTGGGGTCATCCTTACATGATGCCAGACTTTTTAAGGAGAAGAAGAATTGGGGAGGGATGACTCCACCTTTAATGGTCACACATGCAGAGCACACAGAGTCCTCTGCTTTTAACCCATCCTAGTACCAGAAGTCTAGTACTAGGAGCAGTGGGCAGCTATTGTAGAGCAATGGGAAGGGGGATGTCCGCCCAGTGCCTTGCTCAAGGGCACCACAGCAGGGCAGGAGGTGAACTGGGACCTCTCCAAGTAGCAGTCCACAATCCATATTTTAGGTCTGGTCGGGGACTTGAACCGGCGACCCTACGGCTCACAGCCCAAGCCCCTACTCTGACTGAGCCACTGCCGGACTGAGATGATCTGACTCAGCATTAAAATCTTTATTAGTAATACAGAGCTGCACATATTTAAATATACACATTTTAACAGACCCATACAACACTTATAGTTATATAAATATTGCTATTTTATTTAATCTTTTATTGTACATTTCTATTTAAGTTCTTATGTTTATGTTAATTTTTTGCCATTGCAGATTTTTACTTGAATTTCATGTTTTAATACATATTTGTAATTTGTTATCTTTTATTGCAGATGTGTTTTACTTTAACTTATTAGGTTTAAATAAATATTTAATAAAAAATACTTTTTTTTATTTTATCTTTTTTTACTTTAAATTAAACATTTTAAATTATATTTAATTCATTTTAAAGTTGTAGTCACATTTTAATTTTAACTTACTGCATTTAAATATATACATTTGTCATAAATCATATTTCCCTCTCAGAAACAGAAAGTATTCTGATTCTGAGATAAAAAGGGATTCTTCAATTCGACAAAAGTGGAAAGTAGTTAAGAAATAAAGGAAAATGTGCAATAATTTGTCCTTAAACTCATTTTGTAAGAAGAACAGCATGATGGTTGTGTATTGAAAAGTGAGATGAGTTTCCCTAAATCCCTATTTGATATAGTTTGTTGTTTTTTAATGCCTACTTTTTCCGGTTTAAAAACAAAAGCCTTCGTTCACTGTTTATGTATTCAAGAAAAACAACATGTTCAGTAAGATAGGTACCTCTAATTGATTTAGTAAAAAGCAAATTGATAGTGTTTTGTTGTTGTTTTAACCGTGGAGGCAAAACAAGTATTCAAGAGTAACGGACGTAATAAAAATGGACATTTTGTTGATCCACTTCGTCCTCCTGAGGGTTAATATGTGCTCTGTCACCACAAACAGCTTCTGTATTAGACTCTGAGTTACCTGGAAACAGTTCAAACAAACTCCTTCATGCATAAATCCACTTATTGATGCCCCCCCAAAATAAACTCTCTGACCGCACCTGCCTGATCTCTTATCTCCAGGTGAGCGCCCAGAGGCGGCTTAAAATAAACCTTTAGTCTCTCTCCAAACACTGTGTGTGTGTGTGTGTGTGTGTGTGTGTGTGTGTGTGTGTGTGTGTGTGTGTGTGTGTGTGTGTGTGTGTGTGTGTGTGTGTGTGTGTGTGTGTGTGTGTGTTGTGTGTGTGTGTGTGTGTGTGTGTGTGTGTGTGTGTGTGTGTGTGTGTGTGTGTGTGTGTGTGTGTGTGTGTGTGTGTGTGTGTGTGTGTGTGTGTGTGTGTGTGTGTGTGTGTGTGTGTGTGTGTGTGTGTGTGTGTGTGTGTGTGTGGCCTAGCATTACTATACTTGTGGGGACCTAAATCTGTTTACACAGTCACGTGTGGGGACTCGCCTCCCTTATGGGTACAAATTGGAGGTCCCCATAAGGGGGATCATTCATTTTAGGGTGAAGACTTGGTTAGGGTTAGGCATGTGTTTGTTATGGTTAAGGTTAGGATAAGTCTCCAGGAAATGCATGTAAGTCAATGTAATGTCTCCTGAAGTGATGTATACATGGTGTGTGTGTGTGTGTGTGTGTGTGTGTGTGTGTGTGTGTGTGTGTGTGTGTGTGTGTGTGTGTGGTGTGTGTGTGTGTGTGTGTGTGTGTGTGTGTGTGTGTGTGTGTGTGTGTGTGTGTGTGGTGTGTGTGTGTGTGTGTGTGTGTGTGGTCGTGTGTGGGTGTGTGTGTTGTGTGTGTGTGTGTGTGTGTGTGGTGTGTGTGTGTGTGTGTGTGTGTGTGTGTGTGTGTGTGTGTGTGTGTGTGTGTGTGTGTTAGGGGTATATTCCGCATTTGACCGATTATCGGTATCGGCCTTTTTTTTATCAAATTGCTGATAAAACTTTGGCTCTGATGCGGCCGTTTCTCTGGCTGCAGTCACCACTCTGTACACGAGCAATGTCCCGCCCACAGCGCTATCTGATAGGCTATTACTGAAGATTTTCCGGGCGGGAGCCAGAGAGGCGGGACCTTCTCAGATTACAGGCAGGTGCGAAAGAACGCAGACACAGACTGAAGCAAGCAGCAGCGCTGAGCGGCAGAGCCATACATGTGTTAAACCGAAGTTCAATAAACATCCCTATCCCCTATGCTGAACACCACGATCTTATGATCCAATTCTATCAGTTTCCCAGTTACACAGGGACGCGGGAAGTCAGTCAGAGTTGGGGGTGCGTGCAGCGTCTCGCAGCGGAGTAACTGTGGTGCGGAGGGGGGGGGGGGGGGGGAGGGGCTGCGAGTGGAGCCTCGCAGTTATTCAGGTTGATATGTGAAGCTCATTAGCTAGCCAACATGTATCTAGCAAATGTTTAGCAACATATTAGAAGTGAGGCTCCTAGACCAACGTTAGGTCTACTGTGAGAGCCTCACTTTTAATAGTTTGCAAAACATTAGCGAGCACTAGTGTTTTGCAGTTGCTAGCAGCTTATTGGGATTGTATGCCAGATAGACAGATATAATAAATTAAGCATTATTGTTAGTTAAGCGTGTCAGCCTGCAGCCCCACTTCTTGTCTCTCTCTAACTCATTATAGATGGCTGCACTAAAGAAAAGGGCACAGAGAGGAAACCAGTTGTAAGATGTTTAAAAGTTAATTAAACATAATATATGCTTAAATGCATTTCAAAGAAGTTGTGTTGGAGTTTGTGTTATTCTACATTTTGACACCAAGATTTTCTGATTTTACTGCAAATGTATATCAGTTCCAAATATCGGTTATCGGTCTCGTTGATTACTAATAATCGGTATCGGTATCCGCCTTGAAAAATCCATATCGGTCGATCCCTAGTGTGTGTGTGTGTGTGGATACACTGAACACACAGCTAACAAAAGAGCCATTCAGTGGAGAGGCAATAACAAAGATGGAGGCTGCATGTTGTGTTATTTTAAACGGCTGTCAGTCCCCCCCCCCCGGAGATACACTTATTTATAATGAAGCTAGTTAGTGAAGTGTGTTAAATGAGGTAGAAAAGGCCTGGTTAGGGAATAGGATTCATGTTTGAAATGTCCGACATGTGTGATAAACATTCAGGTTACCCCCCAAAAACAATAGTGACAATAAGGACACTTTTTTTTACTTTGTGTGATGTCATGCATTCTGGTCTATAACTCAATGGAAACATGTATGGGAAGAAACCCATTAATCCCCGCTTCTTCTTCTTCTTCCGTCATCATTAGACCAAACCGGTTTGTGTGACATGTTTTTGGGGAATAGTATTATTGCAGCTGACTGTGACTCAGACTCAGAGAAACTCCCGGTGTAACGCAATCTCATGAGAGCTAGAGCTTTTGTTTTTCGCTCTGACAGGTGATTTAGTTTTCACCTCCAATGACCCATTTCCCAGAATGACAAAAAAGTGTTTCCTCCTATGAATTGATATAAATACATTAATGACAGAGCAGCTTGTTGAAATGCTTGAGCTTTTTATTCTTGCACAGATGAAAAAAAGAGTCTATTAAATATATAAGGTTGTGCTAAAAGCATTTTCTCCTTCCAAACTCCTTCAGTCTGCTCTCATGAGAGGCAGCCACTGTTTGATTCACTTGTCGCTTCATTCCTCAGCGTTACAGCGATAGGAAAGATTATTAATCAGAACCATCAGAACATAAGTGACAGATGTATTTAAAAGCATGCACACAAACACACAAGGTTTAAGGTGGACTTTATGCCTCTGTGGGGGTCAGACATCACGGGGATCTATTGACACAGACAGACGGCAACTTCACGAAACACTCCTTGTTATCCCAGCACTTCTCCACTGCAAAGAATTAAAGAAATATATTTGTTTTTATATTTCTCTGGTACTCAAATCTAAAATTGACATAACTTATTGTAAGCGTAATGCTATATTACCTGAGTAATTTATCTGTATGCATCTCTGCTCGCCAGGATTATTGGGCTCTCTATCACACCAGTCTGTGTAGTGTAAAGGAGTCCCATCAGACCAGGTCCAGACGTTCACCTGCAAGAAACAATAGTACATTTATTTATCAGGAAAACTGTGAAATTAGATGGAAGAAACTGGCATATACTCAAAATACCAAAACTAAACATACTCATATGCAGAATCCACTTTTTGTATAAAACAATATATTACATCTTAATTAGCTGCTGTTTTCTAATGTATTTCATGATTTCTTAAACTTAAAATGTATATCATGAGATACATTGCACTTTTTAAAGTGTTATTAAACCTATATCACACCTATATTACACTGTCCTGAGACCCAAGCTAATATTATACCATATAATACCCATGTTACACCCACATTACACCGTTACTTAACCCATGTTACAGTCATGTTAGAATCCTTTGTCTGTATACCAATGTTGTCAAATAAATGTAGTGGTACTAAATTTAGTGGAGGAGAACTATTAAGTAGCATCAAATAAAGAACAAGTACCTCTAATTGCACTTTACAACCGAACTTGAGTAAATGTACTTAGTTACTTTCACAACTGTAAAGTACCTCATGTACTTCAGAGCCTCCGATCCACGCTAGCTTAATCCGATGTGTGGCGGTCATGATCATCTTCTGGATCTCATGGTACTCCATCATGTTGCTTACGGACGCCAGGTGTCCCCTCATTGAGTGGCAGTTTCTCTGCAGGACAAATTAGAAGAATATTAAAGAAAAAATAAATCCTGCATTCCACATTTTGCTCAAGTAAAAGTAGAAAAAGTCAAATGACTCATTGTACAGAATGGCCCATTTCAGAATAATGTATTCTTGATGCATTTATGTATTTGTTGCAGCTACTGCTTAAAATACATATACCTCTTATCAATCAATCAAAGTTTATATTGCTCAATATCACAAATGTTACATTTGTCTCAGGGGACAGTTTGTACAGGTTATCAAACTATCAAAACAAATGCATTTGTAGTCCTGAGTCAGGGACCAGCATTACCTCGGCTTTAGCCCAAGTCATGGGTCTGGGGTTGAAGAAGAAACAGCGTCCGTTGACCGAGGTCCATCCACTGGGGCAGCGAACTGAGCGCTTCACCACATGACTCTTAACTGAGAACAAAAGTTAGAGTCTATTAATGTAAAACTTTTATTAGACTCTCGTTTTATCTGATGGCATATAGACATAAACCCTTTGTCGAAATTGATTATACGGCTTGGTTAAATACTAGATTCTGATTGGTCAATTTGGACATTTCAGAGGTTGTTAATACTCAATAACAGTGCTGCTATGCAAAATGATGACCGTTGCTAAGGAGGATCACGATCAATGACCGCTTCGCTGTACATTATCCCTTACTTATTACACAGCTTAGTTGAATACTGAATTCTGATTGGTCAGTTTGGACAATCTGTGGTCTGTTATTTCTATATAGCGGACCGTTTCTAAGTATACAATACCATTGCTAAGGTATAGAAGACTGTTATAAGGTATAGAAGACTTTTGCTAAGGTATGGGGACAGTTCAGCATGAATTCAAAGATGTGTGCTCTCGAAATGTAAAAAGAAATTCAATATAAAACATAAATACATATAGAACTACATTTTTGAAAAACATTATTATATATATATATATATATATAAACATCTAAAACTCAATATAAAACTTAATACATAAGATCTAAATATATAAAAACTAAATATATTGATACTGATTGAGCAACAGAAAATTAACCAAAGTTTTCTATACCTTAGCAACAGTCTTTTATACCTTAGCAACAGTCAGCTATACCTTAGTAACAGTCTTCTATACCTTAGCAACAGTCAGCTATACCTTAGCAACAGTCTTTTATACCTTAGCAACAGTCAGCTATACCTTAGCAACAGTGTTTTATACCTTAGCAACAGTCTTCTATACCTTATAACAGTTGTATATACCTTAGCAACAGTCAGCTATACCTTAGCAACAGTCTTCTATACCTTATAAGAGTCTTATATACCTTAGTAACAGTCTTCTATATCTTAGCAACAGTCTTCTATACCTTATAATAGTCTTCTATACCTGAGTAACAGTCTTCCATACCTTAGTAACAGTCTTCCAGTAAATAACAGTATTCATATATTATGATTTAATGTATTTTTTTTCCCGTACATTTATTTTGTATTTTCATATGTATTTAATTATAGTTTTAAAATAGTAAGTTCTAGTGTCTTTGTATAATCTAAAAGCAACTCGCCTGCTAGGTCTTTTTCAGCTGCTTCCTCTGAAACGGCTAGAAAGTTTAACACTCTAGTTATTGACTTGTTTACTGACAAAAAACAAATCTGTTAAAGGTTTTAGATATGTTATAATACTCACCAGCAGCTCTAACCAAGGCCATCATGGCACAAACCAGAGCGAACACAGCGAGCGTCTTCATGATGAGGATCCTTTAAAACACAAATACAGATTACAGGTAACAATGTGGGGAATAAAACAGTGAGGAGATGATGAGAGTTTGTAGAAACCTGAAGTCCAGCCGTCCTGTGGTGCAGAACAGGAGGAACACCAGCTCTTAAATACTCAAACTTATCTGATCATCTGTAAAGAAACAAGGAACTTAGAAAAGATGCGGCCCTGCCCTCTTACAAAACAAGTTACCCTAATCTTAACGCCTTTTTAGGAAATCTGCAAAAGTTAATAGAAATACATGTTCCTCTTTAGTCACCTAGTGTTTCTGTAGTCATTTTGTTTTTGTAATTGTGATCATGGCTGAGTCTCTCCATGGTTTCTCTTTGAGGGAGATTTTGTAGGTGAAGGCCTGACACTTCTGTAAGTGATGCATTACATTTCAAATTGAAGCATAACACCTGCAAAGGGACACAAAGCGATCACAATACACTTAGACAAATGCAAAACAACTACAGAGACACAAAAGGATTACAAAAAGACAAACAAGACTCCCAATCATAATTGGGAAAAAATAAAGCTAAGAAACTATAAAACAAATCCACTATCTCTTACTATGGTATGACCTGCTTGAAGTGAATATATCTGCACTTTCCTTATTGTTCGGAGTTTGATTCTCTATGCTTTTTGCACGTAGTGTAAGTCGCTTTGGATAAAAGCGTCAGCAAATTAAATATAATGTAATAAAAAGACAAAAGCAATTTCAGAGAGACCCAAACAACTTCAAAGATATGCTACATTTACAACATGACTATACAAGTTAAAGAAGGGCTTCAGAGATGATTTTTGCAAAATGCGAAAACCTTCTTCAGTGACACTCAACATTTCCGTGTTCACTATGCTGGCAACTAGACTAAAAATAACACGTTCTTTTTGTAGAAAGCCACAGCATGCCTATGAGACTTTATGGCCATACAAAATGACCATACAAGGTAAAGAAGGCCTTCAATGGTGATTTTGCAAAATTCGAAACATTGTTCGGTGACACAGCAAAATGCATGCAGCAGACATAGAGATACATATAGTTATAGATATATTTGATGCGTGTATTTTAAAGAAACATTACTTTACATTACTTTGAAGTTAAACTTAACGCCTTTTTTAAGAAACCTTCAAATGTAAATGGAGATTTTTGTTCCTCTTTAGTCATTTTGTATCTTTTTGAAGTCATTTTGGGTCTCTACAGTCATTTTGTTTTTGTAAGTGTGATCATGTTTCTGTCTCTCCACGGTTTGTCTTTGAGGGAGATTTTGTAGGTGAAGGCCTTCCACTTCTTAAGTGATACAACTTTCTTCCTAATGCTCAAAGACGCTTTACATAAAATCTGAACAGAAACGGTACAAAGAAAACACAAAACATAAAGAGTAGTCCCAATCCAACTGCGGATTTCAGATTTGTCACAGTTTAGTTTCAGAAAGTTGTTTTGCATCCATGTTTTGATGTCAGTGAGGCAGTTGGTGTGTTGGGAGTGGGTGGTTGCAGAAATGTAGAAATGGGTGTCGTTGGCGTAACAGTGGAACCGGAGTTGGCTGACGGAGTCCAAGTGAGACGATGTAAATTATGAAAAGCAGGGGACCAAGTACAGAGCCCTGGGGGACGCCATGAGTGACATTCAGTGACTAATGGCGCTTTTCCACTGCAGGACCTAGCACGGCTTAGCACAGCTTAGTTAGGCCTTGGTAGGCCAGGCTCACTTTAAGCTGCGTTTCCATTACAGTTTAGTAACTGGGGTAGTTACTATAGTAACGCAGTGTAGGCGGGGCGTTCGGCTGTTCGGCAGGCGGAGCGACGCTGCGTAAAACTGCCGTGACGTCATCTTCAATGCGAACCACAAAACCAAAACATCCGGCGTTAGCTGTTAGCACTCGGAGCTCACAGCTCCTCATATCTGTTCAGAAACTAGACAAAAGTTAAACAAGTACAAACCACAGACTGTCTGTCATGGTGAATACAGTCGCTGGTTTATTTATGTCTGTAGGCCGTTGTTGTGAGTGTGGACGGTCGGAGCATATACAACGTTAGCTTAGCCTGATCGATCCAATCTTCATTCAGAAAATACACATTTTAAAAGGTGTTTCGCCTGCCGTCTGTCTGCAGACTTGCCAAAGCATTAAATCATGGTTTTTACTAACCGGTATCAGTATGTTGTTACTTCGGCATCATTTTGAAACGTGTATTACAATGAAATCATGGTAAAATATGTTCATTTTGTTGTAGCGGTAGCCCCCTTGCCAGCGATTCTCTCTGACCATTCAGCAGTAGAGTGTTTACATCACTAGTTTAGCATACTCAGCCCGGTAAGAACCTCAATTTTGGAGGGCCAGAAAAAAGGTGAAAAAGTAGCCCTGAGCTGGAACTAACCCTAGTGGAAAAGCAAAAGAAAAGCTTAAACCGTGCTACGTGCTGCGGTGGAAAAGCGCCATAAATGAGTTTAGGTTAGACATCAGCAACAACGTAAACTCAAAATACCAAACTAAAAACACTGCAGAATTGCGTTTTGTGAACTATATCACTGGATTCAAAGGCTCAAGATACAAAGGTTTTAATGATATATGCACATAAGCTACAATGTAGAAATGGCAATGAAAATCTTATGACCTGAGTTCCTCCAACAATGCAACATAGTCATATAATAAAATACAAAAATACAAATAAAAAGAGTGCAATAAGTCTATATACACGTAAATAGAATATGATATACAAGAACAGAATGTAAAATTAAATATTGTACAGTAAGATGACAAACAGATGAATGTTTGTCGAGACTGCTAAAGCACTCAGGTGTTTAGCAGTCTTGTTGCCGGTGGGGAAAAACACATTATAGCAGGTCATATATTTTGTATTACCCTCAATGGGCAAGTACATTGAATATTTAGGAACATGTATTAATGCTATTTTCTTATCCTTCATTTTCCAATTCATTTAAATCGAAGCATAACAACTTCAAAGTGACACAAAGAGACCACAAATAGACTTTGAGCAATAATAAAAAGGGGCAAAAGCAAAACAACTGCAAAGACACAAACGTATTACAAAAAGACAAATAATTACCACGGATAAAAAGCTATAAAGACCAAAGCAATTTCCAAGTGACCTAAAAAGACCTCGAAGAGATGCATCATTTATGAGAAACGACACCAAAGACTAGAGACTTCAAATTAACATAAAAAGGGGCAAAAAAAACACAAAGACACAAAGGAAAAGCAAGATAAAGAGTTTGACGATAAACAACATGACTATACATACCAGTGACGTGCGGTGAGGTTCATGGCTGGTGAGGCACTGACTCTTTCAGAGTCAGATTTACAAATATTATATTTTGACCGTAATCGAAATATTCGGTTATTTTCAAAAGCTTTTTTAGTCTGATGCTTCGATTCATCTTAAACAGACCGTTCAACAAAAGGATACCCAAAATCTAAATATTGGATTGTTCTTTCTTAGTAAGATCCCATTTTCATTACAATGGTGGTCTTACCTTGACTTGAAGATGAAGTCCATGCTATCCTTCTGGACAACAATCTCTATTACTTTTTTGTAAAAGTCCTCCTTATCTTCCTCTAGTTTCAAAAGTCTAGTTTGTTGCGTCTACTGTCTCTGCGTAGAATAACAGTAGCAACAAGGACCTGTGGGCTCACTTGCGCCCCCTTCAGTGCGGCAAAGGTTATGGCTGCCTCTCCTGGTGCTTTTTTCATTGCCATTGTATGATGAGACCAGCGAGCCTAAATATCATATATACGTGAAATAAGTTATTTAGAGACTATGGATGGCGAGGATAAATGTAATAAAGGGATCTACAAACATTACATTGGTGACATACAGTGAGATGGTGCAGGCATGCGCTTAGGGCCCGCTTTCCAGCCAGTTTCTGTGGGGTGACGCATTCTGAGGTGAGGCAGAGCTCATCTGTGCCTCACCTCACCCCACAGTAACTGGCTTGAGCGCGCTCACAAAATAAGTGCCCGCGCTAAATTAGTGCCCCCGCTCCAGCCAGTTACTGTGGGCTTACGAGAGGCAGAGCTCGTCCCTGCCTCACTCCTCATCGCTCCCATGTAGTTGTAGCGGAGCTCGGCAAATTTGCTGATTTTGACTATAAAAAGCGATTGGAATCATAGGCTACAGAAATCACATTTACAACACAGATCAGTGGAGACATTTTATTATTATTACTATTTAGTTTTTCTTTAGTTGTTTTTCCGTTACATTGGAGTATGAGTATGACAGGTGAGGCTCTGCCTCCCCTGCCTCCCCTGACTGCACGTCGCTGATACAAAGTAACAAAGGCCTTCAGGGGTGATTTTGCAAAATGCAAAAACCGTCTTCAGTGACACAGCAAAATGCATAAAGCGGAGATATAGAGATACAACTCAGCAATTTATATTATTACACAGAGATCTTGATCTATTTAATAACTGTTCGTCTTGTACCAGGCGGGGTAATACATTAAATACAAAAAATATTATAGCTTAATCGTTCTATTACAACACGGTCATTCGAGGTTGTTGTTAATTCCCTATATTTAAAAATGTTTATGTTTGAATATTATCAAAGCATAGTGTTTAACAGAAGTCATCTCAGGTCAGTTGTATTGCCCTCATAAAAAAGTGCAATAAAACAGTGGATGCTAACCTGCATATGTTGGGCAATTTGCACAATTAGCATACATTGCGTTATAATTCATTACCATTATTTGGACAACATTTTTTCTTGTTTTGAGGATTCTGAGTCCATTTCTGACATTTTCAGGATAATGAATGGCAGTTTTAACCAGAAAATGCCAACATTTGTACTCTCTGTGAGCTGATGTTGATACATTTTTGGTCGATTTGGACAATTTAGGGGACTTTTGAATGGACAGATTGCTTATTTATTTGAAAAAGATTGTCCTGAGTAGAGGTAATACTTTTCATTTTGTTCCCTCTATATCCAATGGTTGCAACACAACTCATCGTAGTCGAAATCAGCCCACAGAGAAAACAGATATTGCCGCTTTCTCGTAACATTTTAAGGAACTAATAAGAGCATCAAAATGACCATACAATGTAAAGAAGGCCTTCAAGGGTGATTTTGCAAAATGCCAAACAGTCTTCTGTGACACAGCAAAATGCATGCAGCAGACATAGAGCGATACAAA